AGGAAAATTCAGAGCATTTGGTCATTAAACCACCTCACACCATGAACAACAACAGCCAGCCTTCTCCGAAGAACAACCCCAAAACTTGTGAAAATGGCAAAGTGGCCCCTATCCAGGAACCCCCCACAAACACAAGATTTTCAAACCAGTCCTCGCCTTCGCCCCCGGCAAGGAACAAAGGAAGAAGAAGGGGAAGGAATAACAGTGGGCGTAAATTGGATCAAGGCGAAGCCTTTATGCGGCCGAGTTCGAGGCCATGCACAAGCCGGGCCATTGTGCCAGTTGGTAATAATAGATCAGACGAAAAAGGTTTCCCCAGTTCAAGCAAGTCTTTGAATTTTCCGGCCCGGCCCGGGTTTGGGCAGCTCGGGACCAAATGTATTGTCAAGGCCAACCATTTCTTTGCCGAGTTGCCAGACAAGGACTTGAACCAGTATGATGTAAGATTCTTTTTTTTTTTTTTTTAATCATCATGGGTTTTTGATATTTTGTGTTAGAAGGGTACATCTTGTGTTGGAACAATTTAATTTTGAGTCCTTTAGAAACTGACATTTCATTGAGCTGTGGATGTTTTTATTCTTTATATTCTTCTGGTCATTTTGCAGGTATAATCGAGTAAATCTCTGTTTCTTGTTGTTGTCCTTTTTTTCTTGGGGTTCTTGATTACCATCATTTAATGAGTCCTGACAGTAGGGCCATATGCTATTCAGCTTATTTTCTTATTGTTTGAATTGTTGGTAAAGTGGTTCTTGTTGATATTTTTTTTTTTTTGACTAATTGTCATATTTAATTGTGCTTAAAGGTGACTATTACTCCCGAAGTGACATCGAGAGCGGTAAATCGGGCGATCATGGCTGAACTTGTGAAAATTTACAAAGAATCTGATTTGGGGACGAGATTGCCTGCTTATGACGGACGAAAGAGCTTGTACACAGCTGGTGAACTTCCTTTCGCTTGGAAGGAGTTTACGATTAGGCTCATTGATGAAGACGACAGCATAAATGGACCCAAGTAACTTTCCATCATTTTTTCATACGTTGCTCGGAATCTATTGGAATGTTCTTTCTAATGAAGTCAAAAAATAGAAAAAACGCACACACAAGAAAAACCATAAACGTTTTGGCGATTTGTAGTAGTTTTCTGTAAATGAGTGTGGTGTGCATTTGAATTTGTATTGGTTTACAATAAAATTTGTTGAGTGTGTAAAAATGTTACAGGAGAGAGAGGGTATATAAAGTGGCGATCAAGTTTGTAGCGCGTGCAAACTTACATCACTTGGGCCAATTTCTTGCTGGCAAGCGTGCGGATGGTCCTAAAGAAGCCATTCAGATTCTTGATATCGTACTCAGAGAGCTTTCGATGAAAAGGTATATGGAATAAGTACATCGCGTAATAATAATCCACGAAAAAAATAAGAAACAAAAAGGAGTTTCATAATTAATGCTGAGTTAGTTTCGGCTTGTTATGTATGCTGATATAAGAAAGTTAAATTTTAACATGGTTATAGAATTTGATTTTGCTGATTTTTTTTCGTGCTCAAAATGTACGAAGATTCTGTCCTGTTGGGAAGTCGTTCTTTTCGGCCGACATTAGAAAACCACAGAGGCTTGGTGACGGTTTGGAGGCTTGGTGTGGATTTTATCAGAGTATAAGGCCCACTCAAATGGGACTATCACTCAATATTGGTAAATAAAGACTTGGATGCCAATTTTGAGATTCTGTCTTTGAACGAGGTCCAATAGCATGGATGCTCTCTGTTAGTTTATTTAGTATCTTTTTGTTACATGCTTTGTTTATATATCTTTCATTTTTTTCTTTTTATTTTTAGATATGGCTTCAGCTGCATTTATTGAGGCTCTTCCAGTGATCGACTTTGTTGCCCAATTATTGGGGAAGAATGTGTTGTCGAGGCCGTTATCAGATTCTGACCGAATTAAGGTTGGTGTTTAGTTCATTGACATAATAACAGGAAGGATTTCATTTCTCTCTTTTTACGGCTGGAATTACTCGTATTATGGCCCCATTATTTTTAACTTCAGGTTAAAAAGGCCCTTAGAGGAGTAAAAGTCGAAGTGACTCACAGGCGAGATGTACGGAGGAAATATCGAGTATCTGGAATTACGACTCAACCCACTCGAGAGCTAGTGTAAGCTTGAACCTGAAGAAACTCATAATTAGATAAAACCGAGGGGTTAATTTGCCTCATTTTCTGAGTTACTGTTCTGTTAACACAGTCTAAACAAATTATAGTAATCTTTTTATTCCTTGTTCTTTTAGATTTCCGGTTGACGATAACTTGACCATGAAGTCAGTTGTTGAGTACTTCCAAGAAATGTACGGTTTCACGATTCAATACACTCATCTTCCTTGCCTTCAAGTGGGAAACCAGAAGAAGGCAAACTATTTACCAATGGAGGTTTGGAGTTAGTTTTCAGTTTTAGCCTGTAAAATTTTGCTTCTAATTTCTATCAGAGGTCAAATAATAGTTATTGCAGGCGTGTAAAATCGTGGAGGGGCAAAGATACACTAAACGTTTGAGTGAGAAACAAATTACCGCTCTTCTAAAAGTCACATGCCAGAGGCCTAGGGACCGGGAAAATGACATTTTGCAGGTATTATTGTCCACTTTATTTAACCTCAATCATGTTCATGTTCATGTGAAGCTAAAGACTTGCAAAATGATTGTCAATGTTCATCTGAATCATGACATTATTTGTGTTTTTTGCGTGATCCAGTAAAATGAGAAGAATATATAAGCAGTTCATGAACTGAATCTTGAACCATTTATAATGTTGGTTAGCATCTGCATAATTTACAAACTGTTGTTATAATCATAGTATTGGAGATAAATATTGGACTCAAAATAGTACTTTCGGCATTAATCAAGATCCAGTGATCATATTTTTCTTTTCTTATTAAATTTTAATGAATGCAGACTGTCCAACACAATGACTATGAACAAGATCCGTACGCAAAGGAGTTTGGAATCAAAATCAGTGAGAAACTGGCATCGGTTGAGGCAAGAGTGCTCCCTGCTCCCTGGGTGAGATTCATTTTCGCAAAATTTTTCTTAAGAAAAAATAACTAGTGATCAATCACAAACTAACATTAGCTGCGATTTTCAGTTGAAATATCACGAAACTGGAAAGGAGAAAGATTGTTTGCCACAAGTAGGACAATGGAACATGATGAACAAGGTTTCACCCATCGATCTTTTTTCTTCATTCCTTTTTCAGATTAATTGCTGGTTTTGCACTTAATTTTTTTTTTAATTATGCAGAAAATGATCAATGGCATGACTGTTAGCCGTTGGGCGTGTATTAACTTTTCAAGGAGTGTCCAAGATAGCGTTGCTCGTGGATTTTGCAGTGAGCTGGCCCAAATGTGTCAAGTGTCGGGCATGGTAAAAATAAAAATAAAAAACTCTTTTCATTTTACTCATGATGTCATGTGATGTAATAATATTCACAATCACACTATCTTTTACAGGAATTTAATCCGGAGCCCATTATTCCAATTTACAACGCCCGTCCCGATCAAGTGGAAAAAGCCTTGAAGCACGTGTATCATGCATGCATGAACAAACTAAAGGGAAAGGAATTGGAGCTTCTTTTGGCTATCTTGCCAGATAATAATGGTTCCCTTTATGGTATGCCCCATGCAGACGACTAATTCAATATCCATTAAACTGTTTTATCTTTTTTTCTGTTTTTTGATAGTATCTCATGTTGATTCCTGTGGAAAATAGGTGATCTGAAGCGAATATGCGAAACCGATCTCGGTCTGATTTCACAGTGTTGCCTGACGAAACACGTCTTCAAGATCAACAAACAGTATTTGGCTAATGTGTCCTTAAAAATTAATGTTAAGGTGTGTGTCTCTTGTTTTGATAATTCTTTTGGCTCTCTAAAAAGATTATCTCTCATTCATTAGCTTAAAGAAATTGCAAGTAGCCCCTTGACATTAGTTTCACTAAAATATGTTTGCATTTACACTTGAAAGTGAAAAAAACCGGAACATTGTGTAATTAGACTAACCTCAGGGGTATCTATCTTTGTGATTATGCTCGTCTTTTTCTCATTTCATTACTGAAAATTTGAAAGTTGTGTTTGAACAGATGGGCGGTAGGAACACGGTTCTGTTGGATGCTATAAGCTGCAGGATACCATTAGTGAGTGATATACCAACAATCATCTTTGGGGCAGACGTAACACACCCCGAAAACGGAGAGGAAACAAGCCCATCAATTGCTGCTGTATGTTTCTTTTCTACTTAACAAATTTATATTTATTTGAGGTTTGGGAAAAACAAATTGATCTCGGTTTAAGATATGTGTAGGTTGTGGCATCTCAAGATTGGCCGGAGGTGACAAAATATGCAGGACTTGTTTGTGCTCAGGCACACAGACAAGAACTTATACAGGATTTATACAAGACATGGCAGGACCCTGTTCGTGGTACAGTCAGTGGTGGCATGATTAGGTTCGGTTATCTATTTCCTTATTTTGTTCTTTATATATGCATTTGTAGGCTAGTTTGTTTAAAAAAACAGGTCTCTTTCTTGTTTGGCAGGGATCTTTTGGTTTCGTTCAGGAAAGCAACCGGGCAAAAGCCACAGAGGATAATATTTTACAGGTTTCTTTTATCATGGCTTCTCTTGATTTTCATGCAAAGTTATTGCAGACTTTCTTGTAAGTGCATCTTTCGAGCTTTGTAATTGTATTTTTATCCTGATGGAAGGATTAAATTTGTAGGGATGGTGTGAGTGAAGGGCAGTTTTACCAAGTGCTACTGTTCGAGTTGGATGCTATCCGCAAGGTACTAATCGTCTTTCCTTGTACCATTTTATACATATTTTGCCCCTATGCACTGAAATTGCATCAAGACTGTAAATTATACGTCTAAATGGCCATAATGTTGTTCTTCAGGCTTGTGCATCTTTGGAGCCAAACTACCAACCATTGGTCACATTCATTGTGGTTCAAAAACGACACCACACCCGACTCTTTGCTAATAATCACAGGGACAAGAGCAGCACAGACAAGAGTGGAAACATTTTACCTGGTAAAAATTCTCGTATTTACATAAAAAGGAAAATTTATAATTTGTTTTTTTTTTGCAAATGCATGAATTGTGACTATGTTTGCGCGGCTATGTCTATATTTGTTCCTACTGGCAGGCACAGTGGTCGATTCTAAAATCTGTCACCCAACGGAATTTGACTTTTATCTCTGTAGCCATGCTGGGATTCAGGTTTTTTTTTTTTTTTT